ACATAATATGTAGATAAATTTTGAAAATTTTAAAATTAAGTAAGAGGTGTGAAACGCGTAGTATGTTTGCATACCATATGAGCAATAAATGTCTTTCTTCTTTACGTGGCAATTCTAACTTTCTCCAGAATAGTTGTTTTGGAAATTCCTCTTAGACCTGTTTATACTGGTTGCTCTTGGGAAAATATTTAATGGTAACATACCTTTTGAGAATTTTTGCACTCTGTTTAATGCTGACCCTTGGCCTTTTTTGCACCCAAGGAATGTTAACCAATATATTATTTTCCATTTGTTAAATATTTCATTGTAATGTATTTTTAAAATTCGTCAAAGTCATCAGTAACATCTCACACTTCCATTTCATATCAGTATGTAGTGTTTTGATATCTTTATATGCTATGTTTTTAATGTTGTAATTAGATTTTAGCTAAAGGGAGCTGTAGGTTGTAATGATGACGTTAAATTGGGCCAAGAAAGCTCTAAAGATTTTATCTCAGATTTTCTAGTACATTTCAGAGTATATTATAAACTAGCTGGTATATCCATCTCTTGGACGGAAGTTATGTAAATTCATGATTAATGAAAGGTTATCTTAGGACATTACAAGTTGCTTCCCTTGTATGTAATTCTAAAAAACGTTCATAAAAACCGCAAAATGCAAAACTGAAAATCTGTATGTACCCCGCATGGACCTAATGAACCTCCATACCAATTTTGGTGAAGATTCACCCACACCCTACGAAGTAGTTACAGACAACAGACAGTACTAATATATTTATATAGATATGAGTCAGCCAAAAATCTAGAATATAATTGAGGGATAGTTACAGAACAAGTTAAGAAGATGCAGTTGTTTCAAAATAGTAGAGCTATTTCTAGCCAGTAGAGGTAGTCAGTCTATTTTTTGTTTATATTTTTTCGTTTCAGCCGTGAAATAAGACAAATAAGTTTATTCTTTACATTGGTGTAGTGCAGTTAATGTTATTCTCATCAAAATCATACAGATTGTGATTTTCCATAGAACTAAACACTTCAGATGGATTAATGGTTGGTAGAACTCTCGTGAGTCTGAATAATAAAAATTTCAGCATTAGAGCTATGAACACAACAAACCATAAGATTGAGTCAAATCTGGACATTGAAAGTTGTAAGGCTGTATCAAAGAACATCAGAAGTAGTCACCTTCGACGCTTACTACCTCACTTATAAGAACTGTATGACAAGAGCCAACAAAAGGATAACGTTAGAATAATATGTTTCATCGTTGCTAAAGTTTCACTCGCAATATATATAGGTTGGATTAGACTAAAACACATAACTTCACATGACAAATAAAGACATTGAATCAAAAGATCGTGATATGCAAACAATTAGTTTATTAAACGACAAACACTATCTTAAGTTATTGATTTGAACTCTGCAATCAAATGTTAAAATACTGCTGTAATTTCGTCCTTCCCCTACTTTCTAGATTCTGGAATTTTGGAACTTCTCCCTGTTATATTCAAGAGTATGTTTCGAGCTTTTGCGGGAGTTAATGCAACAACTGCATTAAATGAAATTTTCTTACAAGGAAATACCTTCAAACCTTTTGACTTCAACAACAACAATCTCCCAGCACTCTGGCTGTATCCATTGCTGAAATACTTAACAAGTAACCTTTTGACTTCAACAACAACAATATATCATCTCTCTGGCTGTATCCAGAGTGTACCCAGTACTCTGGCTGTATCCATTGCTGAAATACTTAACAAGTAAGGTAGATGGATTAAGTTTTAGTTATCACTCGATTCTCGTTTGTTAAGTACATATTCACTGAAATGACTAGAGATAGATGTCTCAATAAAACGTTGTTGGTATGATTCCGTGAAAATGAATTCCAGTTCTTTCTATTAGGTCGTCAAGAAATTAGTGTCGCGTTTTGGAACACTTTCATTAACCACCCCCCAAAAAACATTACTAGTTAAACGAATCGCCTAAACGTCACGTTAGTGTAGCCTATATAATGTGTAAAGTTTAGTATACTCTAATCCAGTGGTCGGCAACCTTTTTTGATCGCGGGTCAATTGTTTTTTTTTTGTTGAAAAATTTAGCATTGTGAATAATTATATGATTATCACTGACCCAAGGGGGCACAGTTATAAATTTTGGCAAGATAGGAGTCATTATCAGCTAAGACAATTTTATTTTTCTAACAGGGTGGTTGGCCTTTGGAATGAGATACTTTCAAATGTTATGGAGGAACTAAATTTAAGTGAGGTTAAGATAAAGCTTGATAACTATATAAATGATAAGAACTGGCTTTGAGGTTTTGTTTTTATTTTATTTATTTAATAGTTTAAGTTTAGTTTAGAGCAGTGGTCGGCAACCTATGACCCGCGGCAATAATTTGGCTGACCCGCCAAAAGTTGGCTTCACCATTGCAACCCGTAAGGGCACAATCATTGTTCAGTTCAAGTTTCTCAGCTATGTGAGAAGAACAACGATATTAAAGGAAAGAGTCACGGCTACGGAGAATTTTAAGATCAATTTCAGGGGAAAATACCAAACTGGTCGAACTATTAATATTTTTGTATGTAAATAAACATACACATTTAAAATACATGTACCGGTATTTAGTCCTATTATTCTTACCATTAAGTATAAAAAAAGATGATGCATCAACACTATCAATTCCCTTGACAATCTTAAACACCTGAATCAGATCCCCTCTAACTCTTTATTTTTTTCAAGAGAAAATTTCAGAAATCTTAACTACCCCTCTTATGACAAACCCTCCATGCATCCAAGGCACCATTCTAGTAGCCCTCCTCTGAACCCTTTCCAACAATTCAATGTTCTTCCTAAGGTAAGGAGCCCAACACTGAATACAATACTCCAAATGTGGATTAACCAGTGACCTATAGAATGAAATTATAACCTCTTTAGACTTTCATAGCACTATTGAGGTTATTCCCATCCAAATTATACTTATAGTTCAAATTATAACCCCCATGCATTATCGTGCATTTATTATAATTAAAACCCATCTGCCATTTATTCTTCCAAGTCACTAAATGATATAATTCCTTTTGTAAATCAGCAGCATCCTCCTCACAGCCAGAAACACCCAAGATCTTAATATCATCAACAAATGTAAGTAATTTATCGACTATTTCTTCATCTACATCATTGATGTAAATTGAAAATAGCAAAAATCCTAAGAATAAGATGGAGCTCTGAGGTACCTCACTTGTGACATTAATAAAATTTGACTGAACTCCATTTATAGCAACCTTCTGCTTTCTTCCATCCAGCCACTCTTTTATCCAATTAGCTAATTTATCCCCTACACCTATAGAGGTAATTCTTTTACAAGCCTTTTATGTGGCACTTTTTCAACTGCTTCCTGAAAATCCAGATACATCAAATCTACACTCTTACATAAGTAGTGACCTTTTCAAAAATGTCAAAAGATTTGTAAGGCAAGATTTTCCCTTAGAGAAACCATGTTGACTATCCAATAAAATTTTAAACTTTGTTAAATGATTTTTGCAAAACAACTTTAATCAAACTTTCCACAACTTTTCCCTCAACTGATGTTAGACAAATAGGCCTATAATTACTAAAACACTTTTTATCACCTCCCTTGAAAGTTGAAAAGAAGAGTAACATCAGCTAACTCCCAATCTCCTGGCACCTGCCCACTATTCAAATTTCAAAAAATTACAAAAAATAGTAGGAAGTGGCTCACAAATCCAATCCTTAACCTCCTTTCAAACCTTACTGTTCTTTAAAATTCCCAATTTTTTTCTTAACAAGCTCAAAATTAATGTGATCATCTTGTTTCCACCTGTGCTCTGTGCTGGGTCCTCTGCTGTTTGTGATTTATATTAATGATATTGACTCTGGAATTACTCACAAGATATTGAAGTTTGCAGATGACATTAAGATTTTTGTAGTGGCTAAATATATATCGAAGATGCTGCAGACTTACATGGAGATTTAGATCATTTGATGCATTGGGCCAATACATAGCCAATGATGTTTAGCTGTCTAAAATGTAAGATGATGCATGTAGGTCTTCACAATTCAAATTATTGTTATGATTTAAATGGGAATACATTAAATACTGTGTTTGAAGAAAAATATCTTGTTGTGATAAAAAAAAAAATCACTTAAGTCATCTAAACAGTGTATTGTAGCTAGCAATAGGGCTAATAAGATTTTGGATAGCATCTATAGAAACACTGAATACAAGACAAAGGATATTATTGTTTCATTGTATAGATCACTTGTACGGCCTCATGTAGTGTACTATGTACAGATTTTGGCTTCCTTCCTCAAGAAGAACATTACATTGTTGGAGAAGGTTCAGAGAAGAGCCACTAGAATGATACCTGGGATGGTGGGATTATTCTATGAGAAGGGACTAAAATATCTAAACTTGTTTTCTCTGGAGATGAGAAGGGTCAAAGGGGATTTGATTGAGGTGTTTAAGATTATTAAGGGTATTGATAATACAGATCTATCAAACTTTTTTGTGTTTAGCAGTGAAAAAAAATTGGACAAGGGGACATAAATTCAAATTTTGGCTGCGTAGGAGTCATCTGCAGTTTAGACAGTATTATTTTTCAAACAGGGTGGTTGGCTTTTGGAATGAGCTACCTTGAAATGTGGTGGAGGCAGAACATTTAACTGAGTTCAAAAAAAAAAGATTGGATGAATACATGGGTAAGGGGTGGTTACAGTTGATGGGCTAATAAGCTCCTATTTGTCCCTTTAAATTATATGAATGTATTAACTGTTCAAGATGAGAAGTATTGCTTAAATTTTCATTAGTAAAAACTGAAGAAAAAGCAGAATTTAATAACCCAGCCATTTCATCCTAATTATAAGATACGAGCCTTCCTTTATCATCCCTCAAAGGTCTTACCCCCATTCTAACATTTTGTTTACCCTTCACGTATCTAAAGAAACCCTTACTCAAGTTACTGTTAATATTCACATTTTCGGCCGACCTTTTATATATAACGTACTAATTTCCTGTTTGACCAACTTTCTTGGCTTTCTATAATCTTATCAGTTTGGCAATTGTAATAATAGTACTACTAGTAGTAAAGAAGTTAGCGTTTAATTTTTAAGATTTTCGTTGCGCATTCCACACACGATCCAGTGATCTAATGCCACCCTTTTAACCAATCCTCTAACTGCAAAATTTAACAGACAATGATTATGATTTTCACGTTATTCTAAATATTAACAGTAAATTATATTTACTAAGATGCATGAAATATTATGATTGTTTTCTTTCACGGCTTCACGACATATACATTTTATAATTATTTTCTAATTTCACTTTCTTTAGAAGTAAAGCTGTCATTCAGATTTGTAAAAATAAATAAAATAATTTGTTTGTTTGTTCAATTTTGCGTAAAGCTACTGGAAGATATCTGCATTAGCCTAATTTTGAAATAATAGACTAGATTGGAGGCAGCTAGGCTAGTCATCATCACACACTAGCAACTTTTGGGTTACTCTTTACAAAGGAAAATTGGATTGATCATCACGTTATATCGCCTCTAGTCAATCAATGGCGAGCACGTTCGATGACAGAATTCGAATGCATGACCCGCAGATTGTAAGTCAAGCGCCCTAATTGTTCCCCGGTAGGACGGCGGTAAGGCTAATAGACTGGATAATATTATGAAAATGTTTATTGCTTGATAGTAGAAGCTGCCAACATATACCAAAAGTTAGGTCATTGTATCTAGATAAAGAAAATTGATGTTGCATCGTTATAAAATGATTTCACTACTTGTTTAACCCCATGTATCAGGAGCCCCTTTGTGTCAATAAATCAAAAAGTTGGGCTATTATATATGTACATAATTTGATAGGACATGTTAAAAGCAAACTGTTTCATTCCATAAAATAACATAAACATTCATTTTGGTGTGTATCTATTGATATATGTATAATAAAAAAGAAAACTACTCAGTGACAATTATCTCTCGCCTCTTTAACAGTACAAGTATTTTAGACAGTATAAATACGTATGCATGAACATATGATGGATATAGTAAAGAATATATATTTAGCCGATTATTTATGGGTAACATTTTGGTTTTCATTAAGATTAACTTCAAAGTTAACTGCGTTGTTTGGGTTCTTGCACCAGTCCTCAACTGAGCCAATGTAGTGTGTACAAGCACAAGCAAAGGTACATCGTAAGCCAGTTCTTGTGCACGTACACTGTTGACCTTTACATTATTGTCCAGCTTGCGTGCATCCACAAGTTGTTAATTGCAGATAGGTGGTTGCAGGAAGAGCTTCTTGACCAATAAGAATTGGGACCAGTGTATCGCTTTGCTCTTTCCAGATGCTAAACAGGCAGGTTAATCTGAGGTACGTTTGCGTTGCATCATACAAAAGCCTGGTAATGAGCACGACGTATATGCAGCATTATTGAATCCTGGGTTGGAGGTAATGATTCCAATACATTTTTAGATGTTTTGAACATTGCAGATCTTAAAGTCTGTATGCTGGTGATGGAGATTGTTGGTTTGTACAACTTGCTAATAAATCATCGGCACTGGATATGGCTTCTGGACTGCTCAGATGTTCTAAACTAAGATCCTGAAATAACTGGGCATTACTGTCCATGCAAAAAACTTTCCAAGCGGATCTTTTTCCAATGCCTGAAAACTGTGATGTACTATTGGATACTGTAAGTGCATGAAATTGTAATATGTTCCTCCTCACATTGTCTGGCAAAAAAATATTGTGTACAGCAACAAACTTTGGTTTTTTGATTGGTGCCACTTTTCATCCAAATTTCTTGAGAAGCAATGTTGTTATAAAATTCTAACAATAACACAAGAATATCTGTCTCTGGCAATAACAACACTCCTCTGGTACCCACATGCTGCAACTTCCTATGCATGAAGAATGACCATTGTGTCCCCTTCTTCATGAGTTGCACTGATACTGGTAACATCATGTCGAGAGTCTGATGAAACTACCTTCTTCTAACCAGTAAATTCTCTGCTGACAATCAATTCATTGCCTTGTTCGAGACTGACTTTAGTGAGTTCTTTCTATAATAAGTCAACTAGATTTCTCTTGATTTCATCTAGAGCCATGAAGTTTTGAGCACTTGTCCTCAACCAGTCGTTTCACAGGTCTACGGCCTTTGCGACGTTTTGTCCTAGTCCCAGATTTTATAGATGTTGGGTTATATTGACTAAACACAATATCAACTCGAGTACAGTTTCCTGTAAAGTTAGTTGGTTGTGATAGTTGTTGTAATCGTGTCTGTCAACTCTCCAAAGGTTTTCAGCCCATTTGGTTTCCCAAGGGCATAAACAAGAGCCATCCCATCTATGGTTGTGCATTCTAGCATATTCGGTTCTGGCAAGGCTTTTTAACATTTCCATCCTTTAGAAGTTGTGCTAGCTATAATTTGTTTGTAGATCTCAAGCTTCCACCTGTGTTCGCCAATGATAAAGGTACTGAACTGAGCTCCTTTTCCAATAAATTATCCAAATTGATGTCCCGCATAGTTTCTCATCACTACAATATCACGATAAATTCATAAACAAAGATGCCAACACATATGAAAAAAATATTTTAGCCATGTTGGCATCTTCTACTCTCAAAAACCTAGTAATCTAAGTTTCAGTGTCCTATCTGGATAATTCAACCAGACTACACAGATTTACAATGTTAAAATCAGGGGTTCGGTTACTCTCAGTGGACACAACAAATAGTCAGATGTGGCTTTGCTATAAGAAAAACACTCGTCCTAACTACCAAGCCATGCCAGGCTCTAAATAAAATAAAAGAAGATTTTAAAATCGAGAGAAGGAGTAAACAGAAAAACGAGGGACTAGCGTTTCGTAAGTCAGAATAGCAAGTGTAAAAGAGAAGTCTTTTGTTTATAAGTGAGCTTAAAGCTTAAAAACTAGAAAAAAATAATGTTCATCATCACAGAAGTTTGAAAGAAACCAATTTGCAAATAAAAGTGTATACTAATTAATATACATAATTTCAATTTCATTTATAAGTATTTAACTAGCGTATAGACCGTCAAAAATGACGAGGCAAGTTATTACCACCCCACCCTATAGTATACCCTAACCTCATATTTCATAGCTAACTAAAATAAACAAATTTTGTGAAATCAAGCTTGACCAACAAAGAAGCAGACAAGTGCAGTCGAGGCAGTTAAACTCGGTAAATACCTTTGTGAGTCAATCAAAATTAAGATCATTCACAAAATAAATTCGTGGCGCATCCATAGAATAATTATTGATAAAAATCACTTAGATTAACAACTTCTAATATATAGAAAGGCCAGTGCGTTTTGATAACACTACGTTCCAATAATGGCTTTTATGTCATTTTGTT